ACCCCTCTTAAAAAATCAAACGGTATGTTTCATTGAAAATTAAAAATTAAACGACATACTTCAAAAGTACTACACCTATACATATTTAAAGTAAATATGGACTATAATAGATATAGTTCTTAAACTGAAACGTCGCTGTGACTTTTTTTACTAATTTTCAATTTTGTTTCTAACACCTAACAGTTATTAACATTTTATTTTACGATTTCTAAAATAAATAATATGTCCATAGGAAATATGGAAACACAGGTACCTTATTCGGACTTTTGGTGCTCCTCGTGTCAAGTGTTACATTGAAGCCAACCTAGGTAACTGACACTATGGAAACAAAAAAGAAACCCTGATATTAAATCATACAACTCAAGCACCTCATTTAGATTTTAGCTAAGAATCGAAAATACCTACAAATGAAGAATGAAAATGTGATAAAAGCTGAGACTAATTATATGTTAAATATCACGTAAAGATGGCGTCAGACAATAATCACTCCCACACTACTTCTACGAATTTTTAATGCTACACTAAATCATATAAATTTGTTGCATTGTGGTATATAATTACGAGTCGCAAAATTCAGTTAGGTACTGACTCATCTAAAAAAAGTGTTTTTTAAACTGTATGATTTATATACCGGGTGATTCACATTGACGTCTACAGTCATTTATCTTTGGAAGTGCTAGTACAAACATGAATTATACATAATAAATTAAGACCCGATTTATAGAAAGCGATGTTAAAGTTAATTCGCGATTAACTTTTAACTGAGGTCCGTTGCCAGGCAACGCACATATTTTAACCAATCACGGGCTCATATTCCACATTTTAATTCTCTGTTAAACTAATCGAGGTTTAAATATTTAACTCGCTGTTCTATAAACCGGCACTAAGTAATGTAAAAATAATCACAAATCACAAATATAGTACTGTAATGCAGAGAGTATTTAACTGTTACATATTCCAGGAAGTGACTATCACTTTTTATTTTTTAAAGAGTAAATTTACTTAAATATACCTGGTAAAATTTTGTCTTTTCTCTTTGTGATGAGGTAAATGGGTTAATATTTTCATATTTAATTAAGAGAAAAAACAAAAAAATAAAATGGAAACTCGAAAATTTGATATTATATTAACTTTAAAAATATAATTAAAACATGAATTTCAAGAGTAGTTAATGATTTCTGTATACCTTTCGAACATAATTACTTCCCATTTACCTACATATAACCTCTTGAATATTTTTACTCTTAAAGAATATCTTGACTTAAACGTTGGCACTGTTAGACTAAATATGTTCAACATTTGTCAGAGGGAGGTACAGATACATCCTTTGTTTTCAGTAAGACCATAAATAAACGTTAGGTGTAAGATTCACAAAAATTCACGAATCTTACAGGCCATCGAATTTATACTAGTTAGAACCATATTATCCAGAAAAAGCGTGGTGTAAATATTTGTCGACCTGTAAGATATCCTATTCTTACATCTTTCGACTTATTGTTTGGGGGTGTTTGTTTAACGAGAGATATGGCTATATCTAGCAGCGCATATTTAGGGTCAGAGAAAAGTCAAATTTTATTAAAAAGCTTTTGTTCTTGAAAATACAATAATATAATAAAATAAAGACAAACATAAAAAACGACAATAACGAAATTTAATTTCCTGCGAGGGAATAAAGTTGCAAAAGAATTTTTATATTAACATTATAATTTTGTTGATCACAATTGAGTTTCAGCAGTCGAAAACTACACTAAGTATAATTTTGATCGAAAATGAGGCTTTGATATCACCGAAAGTAATAGCTCTTTAGGGCAGAATTCAACTATCGTCTTTTTGTAACAATAGTTAAGTATATTAATTACTTGCGGATTATGATTTATCCGGACTTCATGTAATAAGAAGGTGGTTTCCTCCACAAACCACCTTCTTATTATATGAACTATGTTTATTCTATGACCGTTATTTGGTTATTTGAAAATATAAATGGATTAAAATTTTAAAATCTGGTTCATTTTTTATTTCCCGAGCGTAAGCGGAACTGGCTACTTTCGTTTTCTCGGCGTTTCATGACCTCTAAAGTATGAAAACATTGGTCTCTCGTTTCCGTCTATCGGTCCGGTTATTATGAAATTTTATATGCATTTTAGAATTATCGTATAGATGGTAAAACGCTAACCTAAGTTTGTGTACCAATAATTTGATGACGTGCCTTCAAAATTTGGTATACTCAATATTTTTAGATTTTAAAATAATATACTCCTACACTTGTGGTTTATGAATCCGCCTTGATTTTTAATTACAATTATATTACAAAACTGTTTGAGCAAAATTTGCAGTATATTGCATCTTGCGATATCTCGCGCACATAGAGAGAAGCAGTTCGTGGCAATATCGTCTAAGTAAGTCTAAGCCACAGAGAATCAACAACTTGAGCTCTCTTATAGTCGACATTTTTTTTATTTAAATAGGTTATCACAAAAAATCAAATTTTACAAGCTCAAATTATATACTTTTTCAAAAAAGCGTTTTGTTAGATTGTACTTCAGGGGCGAGGAAACTTCTCGCGAAATAATAATAATGTAATTTAAATTTTATAAAATAACACACTTGCACTTGTGTTCTATGAATGCGTGTTGAGCTTTTTACCTTTGACAACCAGATATTTGAAAAAAAATTTAAATTGTACACTAACATGTTGCAGTTTAACTCTGAAATTTTGCAAACGTTTTAAGGTAATTGTAAGGATGGTAATAGTAAATCTTTAATTAAAATTTATCCATTTATTCCCTCCCAAAATTTTGATAACGGGTTCTAAAAATTTAGCCGACTAAATCCCATCTGAAATATGCAAAATATTACTTGATGGCAGCGAACAACTGACCCGTGCCTCTCAGGTAGTTAGCGTGCAACTGTCCTGAGAGATTCGGACCGCCTCCTTGTAAATTTTTTTTTGACCACGGCGCGCAACTGACCCATGCCCCTGAATTGTACGCTACAGGTGCAATGAAAGTGATAATTTTTAGTCATAGTAGAATTCTTTTAATTTTGGCAACATTTAAAACTTTGCCAATAAGGCCATCTGCTACGTTTCTGTTTCTATCTTTGTATTTATACGGCCAAAGAATGCCCGCACTTGTTAGCATTTTAGGGGCGGAAACATATACTGCGCATGTACAGTATGTCGGACGAAGATAGAAGCAAAAGCATACTGTTTTACAACACCTTGCCAAAAATGAAAGAATGCTGCCATAACCACAGTCAGCTAGGTTTCTTCTTTCATTTTTTACTTGTGGATTTCTGTTACAATAACATCTTTTGGATTTTTCATTAGTTTCAAATTTTTAATATAAAACTCGCTGAGATGTCATAAATCACCTCGAGTCTGTATACATGGTTGCCAGATTCTAAAAACATCTTGCAATTTGCTTCTCTTACTTTTTTGCTAAAACTTAAAAAGTTATAATTTTAGCGAAAAATAAAAAATTCAAAAATTCTCTAGAAGGCTATTCAAGTTTCACATCAAAATACTGGATTATCTACATACAAAAGGAGCTCTGGTATTTATACGTTGTAATTTTTTAAAGAAAAACTACAATAAAATTTCGAAAAATAACATTTCTTCACCAGGGATTTTTATGTGAGGAACACATATAAATATGGTCCACTCCTTCAAATGCTTATATAAAACTACAACGGGGAACATAGTCTGAGTAAGTGAAGTTCTGCCCTAACTGTACTTGTAATCGAATTAAATAATATTTCAACATTTATACCAAACTCTTCTAAGAGCCACTGTCTACCATTTTTGAATAAAATATGTCATTAAGCGACATTTTTTGAATTAGCAAAAATATTTCATTCTTGCATTTCAATATTAACTTTTTTCCTTTAATTATGAATTTAAAAAACCGGGAGATTTGAAAAAAAAATCAAGTCGATTTTGTAAAAACTTCAGAATTGCTTTATAAAAGATCTTTTGGATTACAGTAAACGTAAATTTTCAAATTAAATATTTAGTTGGTTTACTACAAGTTATATTTGTAATACTGTTTCCAAATGTAAATGCCAAATTGAATTATTCTGTATATTGACGTTTGTGTGTACTTATTTATGTATATCAGATATTAAAAAAATTACCAGAACTATTCAGCATGATTTAAAATATTTTTTTCAACACATGGTAGGAAGAAATTAGTAAGCAATATCTGATTTAAGTAAAAACCTATACCTACTGGAATTTCTTTACGCCTAAAGATTTGATTACGCAATGCTTATATGACAGGTTATAGTAACAAGTTTATGACATAATGTTCAAGGTCCGCCCATGTATAGTAAGTAATAGTGTAAGTACTCTAATCCAAAATATGTTAAAATGTCGAAACAATTACAATGACATTTCAGTTCTAATGATGGGTACTTTATAATATTTTTCAACAAGATGCCTGGCATTAATTTAAACCTTAAATTAAACCGAGAATTTATAACGTGTCTTTACTAGGACGCCATTACTACATAACATGTAACACCGTGCCCATCACTTAATTGATTTGACTGAATTTTTTATACGTGTATATTATACATTTGAAGTATTTTTATGTATTGCATCAAAAAATAATAAGCATAAAGAAAAACCGATAATGCCCTTTGTTTAGTCTGTTGTCATATCTAGTAAGAAGCTTGTTACTTTTAAGCAGTAAATTCAAGACAAGTGCAAAATTTAAAGGAAAATGATTATGGCAATTTCGTCCTAAGTAACAAATTTAAGATTAAACACTGAAGTTAACTCTTGAGGACCTGTTAACATTCCACTGCTTATACTAACCGTTTTTAAAAAGTGTTAACTAAATAACTAAAATAAAACTATGCGAGTTATTTGTAGGTATTAAAAAAATCATAATTATATCTAGTTAATGGTTTAAGCCGGTATAAATTATAGTAAATATGGCGACACCAACTTATCGTATTTAAAGGGCTCGAGTTAGACCGACGGACATATTAATTACCTATGATCCCTGAGGTGATCCTGTCTCCTGAACGCCTTGCCGCAGATGTCGCAAGAATAGGGTCTCTCATCGGTGTGGGTGCGCTCGTGTATCAACAAATTATAGCTTTTGGTAAACTGCCTGCTGCAGAACTTGCATATGAACTGTTTCTTAGGCCGCGTCGACCCCTTCTGCCTCCCCACAACCGTCGTGGATGACGTCGCCGTCGCGGAAGTCGTCGTGGAGGTCGTAGACAACCCGTTTTGGTAAATTGAGTTCATGATCATACTAGGATAACTCGTATCAACCGGCGACGTAGACACCGGAAAACTATTAAGAGCGTCATCGTTATCCAACAGCGCCAAGTCCTCTTCGACCTCTTCGGCGAGGTCCACGTCCTCCGTGAGGCTCGTATTGGCGGCCTCCTCAGCGACGGGTTCGTCGGCGATTTTCGCCGTGTTGGCGGCGATCTTCAGGATGTCTATCCGCCCAGAGTTGTTGTTGACGTTCGCCGACACCGTCGTGAGCTGCTGCAGGGTCAAGTACGACTCCAGCGCCTGCAGGTTGAGCGCGGCGGCGGCGGCCGAGTTGGCGGGCAGCAGTGCCGCCTGCTGCAGGGAGTTCATCATGGCGTTCTGCAGGGAGAGGGCGACGTTCTGGATGGAGCGCTGCAGGAAGTTTTCCTGCAGCATCGCCGTGGCTAGGTTGAACTGCATCGTGGAGTTGATTTCGGCCGGTTTTGGCGACATCTCTGCGCCGTCACACGCTGGCAAAACGTTGGGTTCGGTGGATGTTTGCATTATGTCTGGGCTGGGGGCATGGGTTCGTCACTGGTGCGTCCAGAAGCGGCACATCACAATTTTCTCATTTTACGGGTTCGTCGTCTAATCCAGTATCGATGTTTCCGCAACACGCGCGCGCACTCTGGCTTAAGCAGTAGACAAACGACTAAGCAGAAGGCCCTGAACGAGCCAGTCAGTTGTTCTTACCTGTGCGCCATCTGGTAACGGGCTGACAGAAGAAGACGGATGCGTCGAACGCGACAATGAGGGAATAATTTTCGTTTGACGATGGTGATTTTGTTATTGAGAAAAAAATCAAATCGCGTGTAGTGTTAAAATTAGCCTTTATGAATCAAGAGAAAACGTGACATGGAAGTGCATGATTTTGCATACTGATTTTTGTAATCAACTAAGCGGAAAGCTTCAAATCGTGAAGATATTTTAATTCATGTTTAACTGCATGTAGGTAGTGCTCTACTATTTGTTTAAGTTTTTTGTCAATTAATAAACTTTATTTACTGTTCTTTGTGATGTCTACTAAATAAAAACAGAATTTAGTTGTCGATATACTTAATATCAATAAAGTTACTCATGAAAAATTAATTCCATTGTTAATATTGCGGTTAATTAATTGCCACTAATGTCTTAGTTGAACAACACATGTTCATGTAACAGTGTCACATAAAGTATGTAGCAGTAAAAAAATGTACCACTATTTCTTATGAGACCGCTGTCATCGCAAGAGACAAATTAGAACAATGAATTTTTTATTTTTTTACACTCAAATAAATTATTATTACAATACTACATAAATCACTACGCTTTGAACTGTATAAGTAATAGTAGTTTAACAGCAACTAAAAAAAAAAGGAAAATTTGTCTAAACCAGTTAAACTAGCGGCATAACCACAAAAAAGAAATATGGATACCTAAATAACTATTGCAGAATCCACATGTCTGTCAAAGCATCTTTGAGAAGAACTAGTATGCATAGTAATGTAGCAAATATATGAATGTCAGTTGCAAATTAAAATTCCGACGAACTAATGTACTAATATTTAAAAACAAAACTGGTACGAAATTATTTTAAATTTTTAAACCAATATCACGTAGTTACGTAAAATGCGGTGAATAAAAAAATGTGTATCTATTTCTTTGGCGACTACAACATAAGGGAAATCTCTCACAAGTATTTAAATGTTATTTCATACATTTTAAGAATACATTCGAATTTGTTAAACTAACAAATTATGGATGTCATAGTATAATATAGAATGACGTCTCTACTTTTGTATGTTTATTTAGATATAGTAAAATGGTATTAAACAGTGGGTATAAGATTTCTAATACGTAAATACAATAAATATTAAAAAAGTAGTCAAACTCTGGGACAAGATATGAAAGGACGTTTTTTTGACAAATTCTAGTTCCAGAGCACGTTCGAGCAAAATTATGAGATCATCAAGACTTTCTTAAGGGTCTTAGATGATAGTGATGTTTTGTTTTTTTGGCTACGCCAACTAGACTGAATGAAAATGATTTTTTTATTTTCTACTCTTTCATTAAAATGTGTTATTTTCAAATGAATCACTATATCTAGACATTGTATTTACATATTTAGGATCATTGACCTGAACAATTTATTAATATATTACATTTTTTGCATTTGAAATTGAGTTATAAAACTTTAAATGGATTTTTATGTCACAGAAAATTAAAACGGGTAAAATGCAAACAAATAAAAATGAGACAATATATTCGAATTGCATCATTCTCTTAAAATAAGAGGGATATCAATTTAAAAAGACTGCAAATAATGTCATTATGGTCTTGTGAAATCGTTGCAAATTGAAACTATTAGGGAAGCGCTGTTGTCTGTTTTATTGGTTCCGTTAATGAATAAAATCTGTTACAAAATAAAAAAAAACATACTTAGCTTACACACAGGAAGCAAAAATGACAAAGACCTGCAGTTCTAACAGAGTTTATTTCTTTAATGGGTGGAATCAGGAACACTTTGCTTTCATAACGCTTTTAAATTGATATACTTATGTCAAACAAAGCATATCAGAATTTTTCAGATGCTCTATACTAGTTACTACAAAATTCTGCTGCCTATTTTCCTTAATACACAAAATTTATACAGGGTCATTATAAAATATTGTAGTCGAAGAAGGCCATGATTTTGGTGACATTTTGTGCCGCCTTTTTCAGTTTTGTGGAAAGGATTACACTAATATTGGAATTTTTATTTTTAACGCCACATTAGTTGACATTAGCGGCTGCACTGTTTCAACGCTTCATCAAATTCTGTCAGATGTCAATAATTTTTTCGTTTGTACTGGTACGTTTTCCCTCACTTTGTGCGTTAATTGACTTGTCTTGTTTTCATTTTTGCTGTCTTCCCCTTTGTTAGAACTTTAATAAGTGTCTCAAAAAACAGTTTTTATCAAAACTACAGATCATTGTGGAATAATCTCAGGTAATGAACACAGAGGAATAACTATGGTCAGTGTTACAAATGATTTTTTTAGTTCTTTGGCGCAATCATCATGCCTATTACCGTAATGGGGTGTTAAATGAGGATGGGGATGGAGTGTACTCTGTGGAGGCGTCTAAAAACGAGTATCTAGTGAAATGTTCTGTTGTCATTGATGAAGAATCTTTGAAGACGCTATATGGCGAATTATGGCCAGATTTAACGACACTGGTAGCATTTCTAAGTGAAAACCGACGGGAAGACCTCAAGTTAGTGAAGACGTTGTTGAAGATTTAAGGATGAGAATGGAACAAAGTCCGAATAAAGCTTTCTCAAAAATCTTTACTGTCCGGAGTACCATACAGCCCATGTCAGAAAATCGTAAAAGAGAAGTTACATATGCATCCATACAAGATTTTGTCGGTTCAGGAGCTGCAACCAGCGGATTTTCCTTGCCGCGTTGGGTATTGTAGTTGGTTTCAAGCTGATATGGACGATAACGGGATTCTCGATTTGTCGTTCTTTTCTGATGAAGCCTAGTTTCATCTGTTAGGCTATTATGTCAACTGACAGAACTTCAGAATTTGGTGTATAGAAAATACTCACGCTTTTGAAGAAACACCATTACACGCAATGAAGGTTGGTGTGTGGTTAGCTGTTTCCAGACGACGATTCATAGGCCTGATACTTTTTTAAGTAAATGAATGTGATCAATAAACAAAATTAGATGTAGAAAGTGTATGTAGGTACTGCAATAAAGTTTTTTATTTTCAGTAACTTTCATTTTTCTTTCGGTGTTAGTTGCATTCTCTTAATTTAAAACTTACTTCAACTTACTGTTTAGTAATAATTGTAATTTTACTATTAGGAAAGTTAAAAATCTTTATTAAACATTCTGTTGTTTCAAGAGATCTCATAATCATCTACAGAAAGAACTCTTAACACTATGCTCCTGAAATTTTATTGGTTTTTTCATCTTTTTTGTTATAGAAATTTTGAAAAATCTTGATATTAGGATAGCCATGTGGGCGTGTTTTGCAGATCTGGCATGTTTCAGATATCTAGAAACTGCAAAGCTGAAGGTAATGTTTGGACATAGCAGTTTTCACCTATTGTAGGGATGAAGATCAAGGCTTTCAGTTGTGTTTTTTCAAGAGAAAAGCACCGGTCACAAACCATGTCTGCACCAATATTTTGACGATTCCTTGCAATTTACAAACAGAACTTTCGCGGGATCACAACTTTGGCAAAATTATTTACTGCAAAAACTCATTAGGTACTCATAGTGTTCGTTAACTGTGATAAGACTTGCTCTGCCATTGTCCATTACGTGATTTTTCACAATTTTTACCTTCAGGGTACCTATAAAAATGTAACTTGTTAAATAATTACCGTGTTCATTGGTTTCGACAAACTTAACCTCACTTTTTGGATTTCATTATTTGAAAAATTATTGCTTCTTTGCAAAACAGACCAGATGATTTATTCTATTCAACTCCAATCGACTTTCCAAGGTGTAATTCATGACAGAACCCTTAAACGTTTTTCTGACAATTTACAATTTTTGAAACTGAAATGTATTGCAGTGGCGTGCACAAATGCTCGATAACACTGCAACCCTTAATGCTCTGGCCTGGCGTCTTTTCGTGTCTATTTAAAATGAAATTAAACCGCGAACCGGGCATTTCAATTTTTGACACATCTGACAGATTTGTTTGGACGTTCGTGACATTTCAAAACAGTTCAAATCATTTTGGTGATTAGCGGCACGAGAAAAATTTCATTTGTTTTTCATAGGTGAGTTGACTACAATATTTGATAATGACCCTGTATAAGTATATTTGCTCCATTTAATTTCGATAATTTAAATCTGAAACTCTATGAACTGACAAAATCACTGTGTCTGATTTATTAGAACCAACAGCTATCCTAACTGACGAATAACAGCATGCATACTTGTAAAATATCGCTTGTCTTGTAACGTCGGAGTGTAACATTTGTAGCTTAATTGTACAAGACCACAATATGGCAGCAATACCAGTGTATTCTAGTTTTAATTTAGAAAATACACCGCTTATTCCACAGACTTGACAGCGTCAGTCAAAAATACTCAGATGGGGATTAAAATATGACATGTAACATCAGATTGGTTTTTAAAATATTATTCCTGTTGGGTTATTTATATATGTACCTGTACTAAATGTATTTTATTTAAATTTTTTATTTCTATCAGTAATTATTAGAAATAGAAGAAAAAGTCAAAAACCAAATTTGTACAGTTCTTTGAGGGCTATACTATAAAATTATTTTCAACGATACAAAATGTTCTGTTTTTAAGGTGTAACACACAAGTTTGTTTTTTTAAATAAAATATCCTAAATGAAATTGTTTAACGATAGAAGGGTTCCCAAAAAAAATCGCAAGTTATTTTCAATATCCGTGTTACAATAGTTTGTGGAGAAATAAATAATCGGTGTGATTAATCACTTTGTAGAGGTATGCTCTTTGTTGTGCTATAAAAGAAAGGTAATTTTCATATACAGAGTGTTTACATATATATATATATATATATATATATATATATATATATTTTCTTAATTAAGTATTACAATTTGCAAATTACGATATTTTATTTTTTTGTCAAATAAAGCACTATATGTTTTATTACTGCATCTTGTTCTATTTTTGTTCTCTTTCTTTTTTGTTAGGTAAGTATT